TCATGGTTGGGCTGGAGGAGCCTCAAGGGCTTTTCCAACCTGGATGATTCTGGGTGCTCTCTACTGTACTTAAATCTGTGTTGTACTTAAGCCTGCATTGTCTTGTACTTACAGTCTTCTTGCTGATAGAGGCTTCAGGAAGTTTTTGAGCTGTGGCCTGATCTCATACAACGTCCTGAAGTCCAAGCTTTTTGAAGACAGCAGGGAACTTGGCACGCCTGTATCACTGGTACCGAAGGGGCTGGCAGGGCTTGTCCTGGCCCTCAGACCCTGGCCTGGAGACAAGAGACGGACACTTAGAGCGTGGGGCTCTCCCAGGGAGGAGGGGGCAGCTCTTCCCTGGCACTCACCCTGCCCTGCGGTGCTGGGAGGCGAGGCGTTTGCCTCGTTAGCTTTGGATGCTGTTCTCAAATCCTTTCCCTTGGTGTGCTTTGTCCCGTGTTTCTCCTGCCACTCTTTCGGAGATAGCTGATAGAGGAAGTCCCGGTACATCTTGTACTCCTTCAGAGTATTCTCGAATCTGGATATCTCACTGGGTTGAGAGAAGTGGAAAAAGGTTGTTAACAGGGAGGAAAGCCCCTGTTTGAACAGGTCCTTTCTACCTCTTGATGTTTGGCTTCACCCACAGGAGGGACAGGAGGGCACGTGTCTTCAGGGACATGCAAAGTCAAACGGGAACCCGCCCTGAGTGCTCTCTGGTTCCGCGTGTGGAAGCTGTCTGGTCACAGCTCTGTGGCCAGACCCTTGCTATGGCACTGGCCTTGCTAATTTGGGATTTTTTATGTGAAAATGAATGAGATGCCTTGCCAGCTCAACTCATAATAGGAATTATAATTGATTTTTTCTTTTTTTCTTTCCCCAGGTCACCATTAAAATGCATTGCTTAGTTTTGTTTGGGTTTTTTTAATCTGAGGCAAGGTATTTAATTTTGGTTTTGGAATACTTATACTTTTAAAAAATGCCATTAAAAAACTAGTTGAGTCGTTTTAGAAACACAGCCAGCATCTGGAAAACAAAAGTTGAAATATTTTGACTCTAAAAATTTCACATTTCTGGAAATATTTTCCCCCCCCCCGGTTCTCTTTTTCCCGGAGGGTGGGAGGGAATAGCACTGCAGGGGCTGCTGCAGGCTGGGCAGGAATCGTGTGCAACTGTTACCTTCGGAGATTCTCTATTTGGGAAGTGATTGCCTGGATCTCTGTTGTTTTCTTTGTCTTAGCTGCCGTTTCTTTTTCAGCACTAGGGAAGAATGCATAAACATAAGCCATAAAACTATTTAGCAGTGAGAAGTGAACTGAGGTATGTATAAAACAGAAAAAGATGTGGAGTGAGCACTGGAAATCTCTTACGGATGTGTCCCAGGTGGTGCTTGGCTCCTGTCTGAAGGCCCTGCTTGTCTTGCCTAAGAGAGCACAGTGTCCTAGTGATGCTTCCAGGTTAAGGTGTCCCTGATTTGGCTGCTGCTGAGCATCAGTTGCTGCTCTGCCCTTGTGATACCTGTAATGGCCCAGGGTGCTCCACTTGCCTGACCTAAGGGACTGTTCCTGCTGTGAGGTGTGGAGCAGAAGTATCTCCCTCTCGTCAGGGTGTTGTGAGAGGGATGGAAGCGGTGGGGTTGGCAGCAGGGTCCTGCATTGCAGGACTTCTGCAGTGAGGGGATCCCCCAGCTATTGTTCTCCTTCCTCTCTTTCACTGAATGTGTGAGGAGAAAGTGCCACTGGGGCCGTAACTCTGGGCAAACTCAGACACAGAGCATTTGCCAGCCAAAGCCCTGCAGGGAGGTCAAGCAAAAGATCTCCCGTGTCCAGCGCAAAAGAGCACACGGGTGGTTCCCTCAGCTTCCGTTACATTTTCAGGGCTTGAACGCAGTTTTTATGGTTCTCCTTCAGGAACTCATCAAACATGGCAGCATCCTTCTCCAGGCAGTATTCGGCTTTTTCCAGTTTTCTTTCCTCCTTCCTTGCTATGTTCTCCATCCTTTGCATCTCATCCCGCTTTACTGCCATGGCGTACTGAAACGAACCCAAAAAGCAACACAGTCACGTTGGCTGGTTGATTTTAAAGGTTTGTTGGTTTAGTTTTGTTCTTGGTTACCTTATTACCTTATAGTTGTTGGCGGGGAGGGTGAGGATTTCAAACCAGGTACGTGTCTTAGTGCAAACGAGGTACATAGAGGCCAGAAGATATTTCAGAAGTAACACAGCAAATAAAGTGAAATTAAGGACAGAATCCAGAAGTTCCAGCACTGCATTAACTCCTGGCTGACAAAGATTGATTCAGTTGTGTTACAGCACAATAATGGAGGTGAATAATGGGGATATATTCTAGCACAGCTCCCTTATTCTGAGCTCAGAATGGCTCCCAGCTATAATTTACGTATCGGACAGCAGGAGCCAAAAGATCAGTATATCTGAGCATCTCACAAATGAAATTAAATAGTTGCATGGCTGCTACTGGATGTGAATGCCCTATGTTCCTTTCTGTCTCGATCGGAGATCAGTGGGCTATAGGCTAAGGGTGCCTTTAACGCAGGACCTGGACAATTGGTGCATGAGGTGCGACGTGTGCCTCCTTGGTGTGATCTCCAGGCAATGGATCTCCGGGGGAAAAAAAAAAAATCCAACACCAACAAAACCCCAAAGCCACACAGGGAAGAATAATTAAATGAACAGAAAGTAACGTTCTCAAAGCCAAGTACCTCAAGTAAAAATATCTCTCTTCTGTCATTTATGTAGTCGCGGAAGGTCTCCTTTTCTAGTGGGTAATCTGAAATTAGGATATAAAGTTAATTAGACTAGAGGGGGGAGGTATGGCCAAGGCAAACCCACAGTGACTGTGCAGGCTGCTGTGAGCAGGATGTGATTGGCATTGGAGCCGGCAATGCTGATTGGTTTATTAAAGTTTTCACCTTATTTAGGTTCAGTTTCACGTGGCTTTTCATGGAGCAAAACCAGGTAGAATGGAGTGAAGAATCCTACAGGTCCTTACAAAGGTCAGTGTCCTCTAGGCATTGATGGCAAAGCTACGGCTCGCGTCAGAGGCAGAAATGAAGAGCCACATCCACTAACACCCAGTTAGTTTAGCTTAGTAGAAAAGTCTCTGTGAGACAAAGTCCTGCAAGCTCTCAGCTGACTTCCGACTGGTTCCAAGAGCTCCCGGCTACTGTGAAGGCCCCGGGGGATGGCGGGATCCAGGCTGCTGCGGTGGGGGGGACACGTGCTCCGTAGGTAAGTACGTGAGATGGAGATGGCCTGGCCACGCGGAGGTTGGCGGGATGCAGCGTGTAGCTGTGTGTCTGCGAGAGCTAACTGCTACCCCCATCCCCTCTTTGACTTTTGCTTTAGGCTGTTACCCAGCTGAGCAGCACCGCTGCAAAGATCGTAACTGTTCCTTACCTTTCTTAATGGCTGTCTTCCATGAGAGACTCTGCTGAAGAGTTTTCAGTCTTTCTTCATTTGTTGCCGCTTTTCTGGCTGCCTCTTGTTCCTCCATTTGCAGAGCTTTCCAGACCCCTTTTTGCTTTGCTTTTATTTTAGTGGAGTAAGTCATTTTCTGATGGATTTTCATGGTCTTCATCCTTTCACGTTCCTATGAGGATAAGTCAGTTGTGTGGACAGTTTGATTATCTGCTTTGATTGCTGTGCTTTTTAAAGACATGAGTGGTTATTCACAGGCTAGAAATTTTCAGGCTACTGATACCCTGCTGATGCACGTTCGCCTGGTTTATCGCCAGTGATATTCTCTCCTGAGGCAACTAAAACATTTCATTTCTTAGCATTTGTTCTCATTAGTTTGTTGATTTGTATTCTGCACCGAGCCACCAGCTGTGCCAGCTTGTACCTACTCAGTGTCCTCATTTTTCCTTCCTGGATTATTCCTGGGAGTGGATGGAGGTTTTCAGAGATTCATCCTTCAAGTTCCCCCAGTAAAAGGGAATGACAGGACAGACCAAGCTCAATACTGACTCATTCCAACTTTCATAAAGGCGTGTAAACCTTCGAGTTCAGATTGAGATGATCTGTTCAAACCCACTGAAGAGCTTTCTGGAGGGTGGAAGGTTGTTCATCCTCAGTGCTCTCACACGGGCTGAAGGGTAATTCATTGCTGTCTGCACAGTTTGGGCTTGGGTTAGGCTGAGGACATCCCTCAGCAGACATTCTCAGTGCACTTCTTCCTAAGCCTTTCCCCTGGACTTACATACCTTCAACCCAAGCAAAAAGCAGACTGTATCAGTCATCAGTGTGAGGTGAGGAGGCTTGCTTAAGCTTGTGTGCAGCTCTCCCTTTGCGATCTAGAGACAAAGACTTCTTGCTTTCACACTGCTGCCTGGCTTCTGCAACCCCCTCCAACAACCAGACCGCTCAGAGATACGGTCACATCTCCATGGCTTCCCACCCCCTAAGGATTGCATCCCCTAAGGGAAATCCACTGCAGAATTAAGAAGGAAAGAGACATTCCCGAGACCCAACTCTCGGTCTGTGGAGCTGCAGTTCCCTGTCTTAAGGAGAGAAACCTAGTACATGAAACCCTGCCGTCCTCCTCCTTAGACATTCAGTTTGTTGGCAGTTCAGAAGGTCACATCAAACTCTGGAATGCGGCTTCCCAAGCAGAAAGCCGAGCCTGTTGAAGTGGAAAGCAAGAGATCTTGCACCAGAGCTTTATGTAGAAGTCGATGCTAACAGCACTGGCAGGTATCTTCTCCAGGAACAGGAATGAGTGGTAAATCTTCCCTGGAGTAAGGAAACGAAGCGACAACATCCAGATTTTGCACTAGCAACCAGCAAGCCTGTGCTCAGAGCTGCTCTTGGTGAAGTTAATCTCTCATTGTGAACTTCAGTGGACTTGAAGCTGATCTGGGGGAATCTCAGCTGAATTTGGCAGCTATTATTTCTCTCATGCACTATATTTTTATATTATATGGGTTGGCCTAAAGCATGTATACATACCGCCTCAGCGATTTTTCTTTCTTTGTCCATTATTGAGAAAATATCGATATCTGGAGGAACTGTAAATGGGTTTTTCATTGGGTTTTCTTCATCCTCTTCTGGGCTTTCTGAAAAAAAAAATGAATGAGGATGTAGAAGATGTGAGGCAGAATACCAGGACCCAGTGCAAAGGGACTCTGATCCGTCACACCCCGCCTGGCGTGGGGCAGCTGTGCTCACAGCTGCAGATGTCTAACAATGCTGCATCGAGCAGGAAGCTGGATAGGGCTTGTAAGAAGCCAGTGATATAACTGAGACCTCTTTATTGTTTATGTCACTTGACCGTATCTGCTGATCCACTCAGGATTTCAGCCAGGGATTTTTTTGTAAGTCTGGAGCTGTTTTACCCATCTCAGACCCTTCTGCCCACGACCGTATGAATACAGGCCTCTCCTTTGACCTAACAACAAAGAGCTGCCGAAGCATCGTGACCTCACCTGACAGCACAGGCTGGGTGTCCATTCCAGGTTTGGAAGAGAGACTTTTAGATGTGGACTCTGTATGTGGAGGTGGCATCTCTGACCCTGGCCCAAGGTAAACCATAAACAAACGGTCAGCTGGGACCTGCCAGTAACTGATGCAGTAGGTTTTACAGCAGTGATGGACCTAGGGGCTTCCTGGGTCGTAACCACTGAGCCTTTTGTGTCAGTAGGAACTAAGAAAAAGCTTCAGTAAACTGGAAAATATTTGTGTTCTGACCCCAAAAAGGAAATGTTCATCCCTGGTTTGTGTGAAAGCTGTGTAAAACACAGTCCTCCTTACGCACACAGAGATGGGAAAGCAAAACCAAAATAATATTGAGACAACAAGCAACTCGCATCCCTTGCCCCTTGTTCCACGCACACCTCCCCTTCCGATCCACACCTATACTTCATCTTCCTATCGCTGGTTCACAAGCAACGTTTTTACTCCCTAAAGCTCTTACCAGTAATTGCCTCAGCACCGTGGGTTTCTTGTGGTAAGGCTGAACGAATGTCGGGCAGCACTGACATGCTGTAGGGAGCTCTGTCGTGTTTAATTTTAGGCAGTCAAACTGTTGAAGGTTGGGTTTTTGTTTCTCTGAATCCAGTCTCTTTTTGTAGTCTTTGCTCTGGGTCCTAGGGGAGAAGGCATAACTGTAATGATCTCTCTTTCAAAGAACAGAGAGGCCATTGTTAACGTTATCCTTTAATCCACAAAGGCAGCGAGCTGGGTCTAGAGAGGTGTTAGTGCAATTGATGCAGTGCTGCTGCTGGGACCGTTCCTGAGCTGCACTGGTACAAGACACAGCAGAAAATATTCTCTTCCGCTTGCACTAGTTTTAAGGCTATTTTAGAGCATCATTTTTTGCTCTGAATAGCCTCCAGTTTTTCTGTATTTTGAGCTAAACTCATCTGGCCTAATTTCCATGTACGTGCTTGGTGCTTTGTGTTTCCTATTGGCCGTGGTCCTGCAGCTGCCCAATTCGTATCTTATTCTTTGGAGGTGTCAGGCTTTCACTGTGGATAAGACGCAGAGGCTGAGGTAGAATTTAGACCGTTTGAAGACATCTCAAATGTTTTCTCTCTCCAGTTCAGTTCTTGAAGTAACTTTTTTCAAAAGCCTCCTTGACTGGCTGCTTAGATTTCATGTCCCTCTGAACTTTGCAGAACTTAATGGGATCTTTTTCTCCAGGGGTGCCTCATCTACGTCCTGGAACAACATAACCCCTGCTGCTGATGTGAGTTTTGGAGAAAAACCCATCAGGTCGAGGATACGCAGGCACTCAAACGCCTGCAGCGTTCAGTTGAATACACTTTGTGAAATACGCAGAGCACTTGCAGCCAGCAGCTGGATGTGCAGCCCTCTTAGCGCACGCCTTGACTGCTGTAATCTAAAACCCTTCTCATAAAAATCTTCTTGTTCGTGTGGCTGATTTAAATTCCTGCTACAGGCAATGGGATTGAAGAGCAAGACTAGACAGAGGATGCTGGCATATGGAAAATAATTGTTAGTGCAACCCTCTGATATAAAAAGTGCTTTTATAATATAATTTTAGCAAAGTATAGGAATCTGTTTTGAAGATTAACTTGTAAATACTCATTTTATCAAGGTAGTTTTTGTTTGAGGTTGTTGGGGTTTTTTTTTGGTTTTTTTTTTTTTTTTTTAAATAGACTGTTTGCACATCGCTTTGGAAATAATGCCAAAAGCTACAGCAGCACTAGTTGGGCTAATTATAATTATTAAGCTCAATAATGCAAATAAAAATTGCTTTGTTGCTAGAATCATTTAGCATATGTTTCACTGACATTTTTATGTTTCAGTAGCTATGTACCGATGGTATGTGAATCAATAGATAAGGCACTCGTGGGTTTAATTCACTGAAACATTTATTCAGTGCTTTTCCCTAGATGCTGCGCAGAAAAAAAAAAAAAAAAAAGCCAAAGTAAATAGGTAAACAGTTCTAAAAAATAAATAAATTTTAAAAAAATCCATCCACCGTGTTCCCGAAGCGCTGGATGAGCGTGTGTTTTATACACTCAGATGATGTAAATGATAGCGTTGCTTGCAGAGAAGGCTTGCTGGGAATCCACTCCAAGTTTTGAGCTACAGAACAACTCTCCCAGGGCCAGATGTGTCCTGTTGCCCAGAACGTCCCCCCCGCTTGCCCACGGGGGAGGCTCTTGGTGTGTGATCTCCCAGTGCCACACGCCAGCACCTCCTCTCGTCCCAGTGAGACGCTGATGACAAAACCAGGACAGAAACTGCTCTGACTGCCCTCACCCCTTTGGCTTTCGGTTTCTCACCCGAAGGAGAGCTGCTCCGGGCTCCTCTCCGCCGGGCACCGTGGTCAGACGTGGATGTGGACGCTCGGCTCGGTTCGGCTCAGCTCTAGGCTTGAGCTCCGGCTCTTGTTTGCGTTGCCATGGAAACCTGCGCTCCCGTTGCCGGGCAGCATCGCTCCCTGTGGCCTTGGCCCCGGCTCCCCTGCGCCCGGGCCCGGTCTGTCTGTACACTGGGAGCCCGGAGGACTGGGGCTGGGGCAGGTGGGTCCTCCCGGAGCCCGGCACCGTGCCCTGCCTGGCTGCAAGGTGGGTGCCTCGGGGGGGGGTCAAACCAGACGTCGGGATGCAAAAGGAAGAGAAACTTCCGTGGGGTGAAGGTCTGCTCGGGTGCTGCCTTCCTTACTGTGTCCGTCCGCCTGGCCTGGGAGTCGGGTATTTAACCCCGGGTCTGCAAGCAGAGCAGCGGGTTGTGGAAAGGGGAGCTGGAGCCCCTGACTGTGGAAATGACAGGGGTTAATTCACCATTCCACAGCCTCCGCCTTGGCCTTTCTGTCGGTAAAGTCCGAACGGTCCCAGTTTGGAGACTGCGTGTGGCATGGGTGAATGAACTGTCGCTTACTGGAGGCTCCCAGGTCAATAGTGCTATAGAAACCTGAGCCTCACCTCCCAAAATATCATGTAATTCTAAAGATGATTTGATAAATATATTGGTTGGAAAAGGAACATATTTTAAGAGAGAAAAAGATCCTTAAATCCCTATATTTACTCCTTCCTGTTTCTGAGAAGATAAAATCAATTCCAAATGGATCGTGTTCTTCTCTAGACTCTTCAGATTATTAATACAATTTCAGCTTTCTGAAATAGCAGCTTCTTTCATTTACCAATAGGTTTCCAAACAGCTTTCTCCATCTGAATAACTCGCGCAATAAATAGAATGATTTTCTGTAAGTGCAAACTCCCATTTGATTGTTATAGTTCTTTGCTGTAATTGCTGATTATCGAGAGACTGGATTCAGGCGACAGGAGGAAAATGCTTCTACAGAAAGAAAATTCTCTTTATTCTGCACATGATTGCTTTGATTTTTAGCAGCGATGCAGAAAACCATAGTCCTATCTTTAGTACGCTTTGGGAAATTTCCAAAATGTATTGGGGAGTATGTCTAAAAAAAAAAATGAGACTATAGAATAATTTCTATTACCCCCAAAAAATATATATTCAGGAATAAATTGTACTTAAGATGCATTTTCCTAAAGGCACAATATCAGATGGGCTTTGTTCAGGAATACCAGTTTATTACAGAACTGTGAATTCGCCACAGTGGTAACATCACCGAAATAAATGACAGAAAACTGAGACATCCGAACAGCTGTGGTTCTGTCTGGCATGATCTCTGTATCGGTGAATGATATATTTATGTATCCACTGCTCTGTTCTGTGCTATCCTTGCTAAACGGTTATTTCTTCAAACTGGCGCAGAGATTATTTAAAAGCAGAGATGCGTTTTGTGAGTTCCTGGGAATGTGCAAGCTCTTCACAGCTTTGTTTCATTGTGTCCCACACATGCCATAAAGCCACTTAGACTTTGCGTTTCCTTGAGGGCAAAGAAGTTTTGAAGGCCAGAAGGACATCTGGAGCCTATTCTTAGCCACCATTAACTTGGTTAATGAACGGAATAAATAACATGTGCAACATCATGGGAAAATCTGCCTGGTGGCATGGGCCGTGCAGCTGACCAGCGCTGCAGGTCGGTAGGGATTTTTGGGTTGTGTGATGTCGCTTCGGGGCACAACGTTTTTGGGACTTATTAAACGTAGGGACAGCTCTTCCCTGGCGCACAGCTGAGAAAGGCAGTTGGCATGATAAGAACAGCCGGTTGCTGCTTACGTTTCCAACAGGATGTCTGCAGATTTAGAGGCTTGTAGGAGGTGATTTTGTTAGGGCGTGGGGTTGGGATTTCAGGACATTGTTATTTCTTTCCTCCCTTCATTGCTTTCTCGAAGGGGCGACTGGTCTGCTCCACTCAGTCACCCTGTGTTGTGGGGATGCTGATCCCTGCCCCAGAGGGGCTGCGAGGGTTAATTAGCGTTGGCAAGATGTTTTGAAATGGCTGATTGGGAAACTCTGCCAGAGATGAAAGCTGAATAAGTACCTAGATAAATAAATATTCCTTTGTAGTCTTATCATTACGGGAAACTCCCTGTGTACCCAGGATGCTGCACAGGTCACTGAGCAGTCATCTCCCTGTTGCCTGGAGTCTTCTCAAGGGGACTCATTTATTTAAGTATTTCACTTTAGTTTCTGCGAGATGAGCCACAATATGTACCACACAAGGGGAGAAGCCTGGCAGAAACCAGCGAACACCACGGAAATACCAAAAGGATTGGCAGGTTTTTTTCTTTCTCTGGAAATCTTGTTCCTGTTTCCTGGTGAACTGTGCAGCTGCAGAACCCGGAGCATCCTAGGAGGGAGAAGGGGAAGTGGGACCCTGTTCCCAGGGTTAGACACAAGGAAGGAGGAGGGAGCTTCAAGCGAGTGTTTGCAAGACACTGCCTACAAGAGCTCTGCTGAAGGCCATTAGCCTGCTCTCTGCTTCAGTACGGCCTCTGGTGAGCTCTCGGGAGAACTTCCTCTGCTGCTGGGTCTCTTTGGGGCACTGTTCTCCTGCCTTTGTCCTGCCTGGG